AGGAAGAGGAGATTCAAAATGGGCAATAGGCAAAGGAAATTCAGAGGACAATGGCAAAGAGATGATTCAAAATGACAGCTGTGCAGTAGGCCCTAGAGAACAACTTGTCCTGATTGGAGCAAGACAACAGACTGTGGGAGGAGATCCCCAGGAAAAACATGAAACTGATTCTTTGAATGTAGAAAATATTGTTGATAGACCTATAGCAGAGATATTGGAGCCTGTGGAAAATTGCTTAGAAACAATACTTAGAAAACCAGAGAAATTAAAAACCAAGTCAATTATTAACTCTAGGAAAAAGCAAAGGGTTTAACAAGAAAGGAAGCATGGTCATAGTGCATCTACTTGGTTTGGTAGAAAACAAAATTTACATGACCATAATATAAACATTTCCACTCCCAAATTGCTGTGTAATGATGTTGGAGAGATAGGAGGAGGTTAAGTAAGGAGTGGTGTTGGTGTGGGAGAAATGAGCCAATAGACATTCTAAAATTGATAAATCAAGAAATTGTAGCATAAGTTTCTTATTTAGAAGGGTGGTGATAAGTACCAGGGGAAAAAGTATAAGGTTTCAGGGTGTTTTCCTCTGGGGAATAGGACATGAAAGCTGAGATGGGGAAGGATAGGATAAAGGGGTCTTTTAAATTATGTGCTTTTCAACTATATTCTTTAGAATAAATCATTAAATACTTAGAAGATGGTAATCTCTACTATATTTAACTATAATAATAAGTAAATGATATTTTGAAATTAAAACAATTAAAAAATTAAAATTTGCTTTGGTGCACTTTTAAGAATAGTTAGAATCTTCTCATGAAATTGAAGACTTGACAAAGTATTCTCAGCATAGTGGTCAAGCACATAGACTTTGGAGTCTGACAATCTGCTTTTTAGCTTTAACTTTGCCATGTGCTGTGTGATCTTGGATAAATCACTTAACTTCTTGAACCTCGATTTTTCTTGCCTATACCAGGGAGATATCAATAATACCTATGTCATAGGAATGATTTCAGAATTAAGCGAGATAAAAATAACAACTACGGAACTGTGCACTTTGTACGTATTATCTTATTGAATCTTCATAATCTGTCAATTTTATGAAGAGCAGACTTACCACAATGCCTAATTGTTTAATGATTAATTATTTAACATACTTTAGCAGTTTTCTGTTAGTTAGTATTTTGATGGGACTGAAGATGAATAGGAGAAACAATGAAAAAAAAAAGACAAATTCAGTAACATTCCGCTTATTTTGAGACCAGATTGGTGATATCTTCTGTCCCCCTATTACACATTGTCTTGAACATGAAATAAGAAGAAAAAAGTTTCCAGGGCATCGAAGTTCAAAAGGGACACTTTCTGGCTTAGCTCTGCATTCTTTTTTTAAAGAATTGTGGTAGGGGCACCTGGCTGGTTCGGTTGGTGGAGCGTGCGACTCCTGATTTTGGGGTCATGAGTTTGAGCCATTGGGCATGGAGATTACTTTAAAAATAAATACATAAAATAAAATAAAATTGTGGTAAAATATACTTAATATAAGATTTTACCATTTTAACCATGTTTAGTTCAGTGGCATTAAGCACATTCACATTGTTGTGCAGCCATCACCACCATCTGTCTCCAGAACTTTTCATCTTCCCAAACTGACACTCTGTCCCCATTAAACACTAACTCCTTATTGCCCCCTCCCCCAGACCTGGGCAACTACAATTCTACTTTCTGTGTCTATGAATTTGACTGTGCTGGGTATCTCATGTAAGTGGTATTTGTCCTTTCATATCTGACTAAGTTAAATAAACTTAGTGTAATGTTTTCAAGGGTCATCCATGCTGTAGCATCTCTTGGTACTTGATTCTTTTTCATGACTGAATCATACTCCATGCATGTTATCTACCACATTTTGATATTCATCCGTCAATGGACACTTGGGTTGTTTCCCCTCTCAGCTATTATTAATAATGTTGCTATGAACATGCAGAGATCTGTTTGAGTCCTTCCTTTCAATTCTTTTAGGTATATAACCCAGAGGAATTGCTGGATCATATGGTAATTCTATGTTTAATTTTTTGAGGAGCCACCATATTGTTTTCTACAGTGATGCACAAGGATTCTAACTTCTCCACATCCTCACCAATACTTGGAGTTTTGCACATACAATCCTGTGCCCATGAGGAAGAGATTCTGTTGCATAGATTTTCTAAAAAAAAAGTATTTTATTTGTTTATTTGAGAGAGACAGAGATAGTGAGAGAGGGCATGAGTGGAAAGGCAGGGGAGAAGCAGACTCCCCACTGAGCAGGGAGCCCGATGTGGGGCTCAATCCCAGGCTCCGGGATTATGACCTGAGCTGAAGGCAGCTGCTTAACTGACTGAGCCACCCAGGTGCCTCTGTATTTTTCTGATTACTATTAGAGTATCTTTTTGCACTTTTATTGGCTACCCATGTAATTTTGCTGTGTTTTAATCAAGTCTCTATTGGTGGACTTTTGGCTTGGTTATCTGACCACTGCATATGTGGAATGGCCAAACAAGAAGGTGAACATGGGAAGGTGTTAGAAATGCATCTGATGACAATAAAATGACTGCAGAGACATTCAAAATGATAGCCTTGAGTCATCAAGTTTCACTGTATTTAGGAGATAAAATAGCATTCTACAAAGAGTTCTATCTAAAATGGTTAAAAATATGAAGCCTTGGTAATTTTTAAAAGCTACCATTTATTGAACATCAACTGTGCGTCATCCTCTGTGTTAAGGCTTTTCAAACATCATTTGACTTCATCTTGGCTTGAACAAGTATCATGTCATTTTATGTTGTAGAAAGGAAGGTTTCTGCAGACTTGCCCAAGGTCACAAACCACAGGGAGTGGGTTGTTGGATCTGAATCCAAATCTGTGACACCCTCACCCTTTGAGACGGACATCTGAGGGAGGTCCTGGGGACTCATAGACCACATGTACCATGCTTACTGGTGTCTTGAGTAGCCTGGGCCATTGTTTTGTTTTGTTTTGTTTTGTTTTGTTTTGTTTTTATTCTTATTCTTGCAAATCCAGAGTCAATAGACTTCAGGCGAAGGCTTTATTGCAGTTCTGCACCAAGTGCGCCATGACTCACTAGGAAATGACTTTAGGTGGTGCTTAGACACAATGTTCAACGGCATTGCATGACCTGGCGAGGAAGTTACTCTCCTTTGAGTTCCTCTTAATCATGGCATCAAGGAGAAAGTCTCCACATGGTGCTACCAAGTCTGGAACACCTCTCTGGCGCTTGCTGATTTTTTTCCTATTTAACAAGTGCTGCAGCAGATTCAGAGCTTCAGTGGGTAATGGTAGAATTTAATAACATTATTTTTAAAAATGATTATTTACCTTACAGTTATCATCTAGTTATGGCAAGATGTCTGTTTTTCATTTGCACTAACGAAATAAATTTCCCTTTTAAAATGAATTTGTTTTCATAAAAGTAGAGAGTCACGTAACAGAAAATTGTAGGCATATGTTGTTACCAATTGTCAAATAACTGGGCAAATTTGTAAATAAAGGTAACACTTGAATGACGTTTGAGAGACACAGCTTTCCTGGATTCATAAGACCAGGCTCTAGGCTTCACGGGTATCATTCTTTGTTAATTCTAATCACACTTTCCTGACTTGAGAGTACATTATATCACATGAGATGCTTGTTAAGAATTCAGATGCCCAGGCCTTGAACCCCAAAGAGCCTCAGTAGGTCTGAGGGGGGCCTGGGCTTTGCAATTTTGATTAAGCAACCCAAGTGGTTCTGATGTGAACTGGTCAGCATGTGGCACTTGCAGAAATTCTGAACAGGATCTTCCCATCGATTTAAAAAAAAAGATTTATTTGTTTATTTTAGGGGGCAGAGGGAGAGAGAGAGAGAGTCCTGAAGCAGACTCCCTGCTGAGCACAGAGCCCCATGTGGGGCTTGATCCCAGGACCCTGAGATCATGACCTAACTGGAAACCAAGAGTCTCCCGCTTAACCCACTGAGCCACACAGGTACCCTGCACTATAAATTTTTTGGAAATAGATGGAGAAGAATGCCATGCATGCCTGTAAGTTTGGCAGGACGCAGCAATCTTCCGCCTTTGTGTGACTACAGTGGGTTAGGTTTCCGGAGCAGGGGGAGTCACATCTAATTTTTAGGCGGTGTTCTAGGCACTTCACACACACTGAGTCATTTCATCCTCAGCACAATCCGAGGAGGCAGATACTATTATTACCTTCATTTTACGGGTGGGGAAACCCGGACACAGAGAGGTGCAATCACTTGCCGAAGGTCACAGGGCCAGGACGTGGCAGAGCTGGGATTTGAACGGGGCCATCAGATCATATTCGGAGCCAACATTCTTCCCCAGAGAAGTCAGCTCCCTCCCCTGGACCCGCGTCTATGTGTGATGATGAAGGTCCATCACCCCCTCCAATCCTGCAGATTCCTGTTATCCTATCAGGAGATCAGACTCTTTGCTAGTAATCAGAAATGAATTGATCATTGAATTAAATGAATATGGACTCGGTCAACATCCCTGGTCTGAGGACTACTAACCTTCCAGCTCAGTCGAAACCATGGACTAGGTCTGTCTTTCAAAACTAAAAGCCAACATTTCTACTTCCTATGATGAAAATAAAAAGCGTTCTCAATTTACCAGGTAGACTAAACCAGTACTGATTTATCTGATTCTGTGCACAGAAGCCCAAGACAGGGGAAAACCTGTGATCTGTCCCCCTCAACATTTCTCATTTTTTCCCCATTACTTCAAAGAAAAGGAAAGTCGAGAAATCACAGAGGAGACTTCTCAAGGACCATCAGTTCCAGTGTTCAGACTCAAATACAAAAAGAGGCTCAATAAACTCAGGGCCTGTACCTTTCAGAAGGCAATCAAATTGTGGAGGATTTGAGGCTTGCCCAGGACAATGTGGGCAATTTTGGTCATTTACCACATGCATTTCTTTTTTCTTTTTCTTCTCCTCCCCCCGCAACCCCAGTCACAGATGGGTGCTGGAAGCTGAGCCAACACTGTGCCATGAGATGCAGACAGCTGTGGTATGGTGTGCAGAGGAGGTGCATGAGAAATGGCCCATGGTGTAAGCTGGAAGAGCAGGCATGTGGGCTTCCTCTCTGACCTGGGCAGGCGGACTGCAGGAACGGTGCAATCCAGGGTAGGTAGCACGCCTTGAATATGGTCAGACTAGGGAAAAGGTTTTGTTTCTCCTGTCAGTAGCTGTTTTTTGTCCCATGGGGGAGAGCTTGGTGGAGGAGCTCACAAGCAGGAGCCCATGGAAAATGCATGGCCGGGATGTCAGCAATTGCGTCACGGTTGCACTCTGGAAAGGGGTGATCACTTTGAACAATGCACACACGTTCACATGACAAACCATTAAGACTCCAGCCTGGGTAAACAGCATGTGTTCTTTATCAGATTGCTTCCTTAGTCTATAGCACAGTCTATATAGGCTAGAGCCCTTCACGCCAATTAAACAAAGGCAGGGTTAACTGTCAGGTTTTTATGAGGTGCTTTCCATGCTGTTTTCGATAATGAAGCCACAGAGTCTCCTACCAAAAAAAATAGATTATTTAATTCCTATGTTTTTCTGTCTCTGTCAAGATAACTGCTGAGCAGCTGAAGATAGCATATGTTTGTAGGGGTAGCTATCGAGAACAACACAAGATATCTACTTTAAAGTAAAAACTGTAAAGATTCTCAACGTGTGTGTCATTTTCTCTGTGACATCTGAGGCCAGAAGAGGGGCAATTCTCTAAAAGGAAGATGTAAAGCAGTAGTTGTCAACTTGGGCTCCACATCAGAATTACCCCCGGGAGCTTTTAAAAATCCCAATACCTGGGTCACACCCCAGACCAAATAGATCAGAATCTCTGGGGGGATAGGACCTAGGCACCAACATTTAAAAAAAAAAAGTTTCCTAGGTGATTCCCATGCGCAGCTAAGGTTCCACATCATTGCTAGAAGGGGAAATTTCCTTACCCTTCTGAAAGTCGTGTAACACTTTTGGGGAAATGAAATCCACTGACATCTCATTTCTGGAGGAATGAAAATGGAAATCACCATATCGATGGCCTGATTTCCATATTTTAGTATCTGCCTCTCTTCTAATTGTTCTGCGCAAGTATTGAAAATCCTGCACTTTAGTGCCCACAGGGACAAAGCAGGTAGAGCAGATGAGGATCCCACGGGAAGGCTGGGGGAACGGAGACTGGAGGGGAGCCGAGAGTCTCGGCCCCAACGTTGAGTAGACTTTCCACACTCCTCTTGATGCTTCCAGGGGCAGATGCAGCTCAAGTGGGGCCAGGATTTTGGATTTTTCCAAATAAATTGCTCATCAGAATTTTTGTATGTAAAATATCCCATTTTAGAAATGTTAGCCACAAATTAAAGAATTTTTTAAAAACCTCCCTGCAGCCAAATGAAGCTCATCTGCAGGCCAACTTTGGCCTTGCGAGCTGCCTTTTATTTATTTTTTTTTTTAAAGATTTTATTTATTTATTTAATTGACACAGAGAGAGAGAGACAGTGAGAGAGGGAACACAAGCAGGGGAGTGGGAGAGGGAGAAGCAGGCTTCCCGCCGAGCAGGGAGCCCGATGCGGGGCTCGATCCCAGGACCCTGGGATCATGACCTGAGCTGAAGGCAGACGCTTAATGACTGAGCCACCCAGGCGCCCCGCGAGCTGCCTTTTAGATCACCTGATTTATACACCTTTTGGGAAGCAGGGATTCTTCTTTTTTTTTCATTATTGTGGTAAAATACACTTGCCATGAAATTTACCGTTTTAACCATTTTAAAGTGTTCAGTTCAGTGGCATTAAGTACATTCATGGTGTTGTGCACCCATTACCTCTATCTAGTCCTAGAACCCTTTCATGACCCCAGACAGAAAACCCATACCTATTAATCCCCTCACCCAGCCCCCTTGCAACCACCGATCTGCTTTCCGTCTCTACGGATTTGCCCAGTCTGGATGTTTCTTATCGATGGAATCCTGCAGGCTGTGGCCTTTTGTGTCTGACTTCTTTCCTTTGCATAATGTTTTCAAGTTCATCCCCATTGTAGCACGCCTCAGTGCTTCCTTCCTATTTACGGCTGAATACAATTCCATTGTATGGATATGCCACACTTTGTTTATCCGCTCAGTAGGTGACGGGTAGTTGGGTGGTTTCCACCTTTTGGCTATTGTGCATAGTGCTGCTGTGAACATTTGTGGGCATGTTTTGTTTCAACAGAGGGATCATCCTTACATAACAGATGCCCCCATAGCACTAATCCCAATTCTGAGCATACTGATATGTGCTCATGAGTCGGGGACTTAACTATAGGGGGACCAAATTGTCCCACTTTGCCTTGGATTGTCCTGGTTTTAGCATGGAAGGCCCCGCATCCAGGAAACTAATAGAGGGAAGTCTGGCAGTGGTCTCATCCACCAGCAAAAGCCTTCTCAAGGCAATGCCAATGGTTTTAGTATTTTGATGGTGACTTCAAAAATCATCGTGACAAGTCTGTGTTTCTTGCGGTTGTCCCTAATCGCAGTGACTTCAGGACGCCGTGCTTTGGCACAAGCCGGTTCCTTGATGTCGCCCAGAGGATTCCTATCCCTTCTGTAGTCTCAGCTTCAGACTCATGTCCTCAACAGAGCCTTCCCAGAGCCCCTTCCCTTGCACAGGGGTAAAGGACTCCTTTCCTTTATTCCCAGAGCATAGTATAATTACAGGATGCATTGGCCTGGGTCTCCCCATTAGACCACGACTCCCTCAGGGATGGTGGAATATTGCTGAGATTTTGGTCTGCCCAACATCCATCCCCTCTTCTGACAATAGCATTCCCCTTTTCCTTTGGGGGTTGCCCGTCTGTCCCCTAATCTCCGACAACACAGTTTGGGTGGAGTTGATACCAGTTCCTGGCAACTCAGACCTGGCCCGTCTGCACATTCCAAATCCCCTTGGTCAACACAACTGGCTCAGGAAGAGGTGACCTGAACCAGGTTGTTAGGGCATAATCAATCCTGCAACTTATGCAGGAGCTAGCTGGAACTAAGTCAGAGCTAAGGAGGAAGGAACTCTACTTCTGATAGGGTTGCTAAGCTCTCAGCACCGTCTTTGCCACAACCTGGGGAAAAGCCACCTCAAAGTGAAGCCACCATGGAAGAAAGCAGAACTGAGGGACAGGGAGAGAAAGGGATGATGCCAGGCTGTAGTGAGTTTCCTCCCCTTAACTTCCTGGTTCTATGAATCACGTTTTTGCTTAAACTGGCTCATTATGGGTTTTCATCTCGTCCAACTAAAAGAAAACTGAAGAATGCACTGTCTTTTATTAATATTTAAATCCCATACTGTTGTATCATCCTGGCCCATTATAGGCACTCAAGAAATGTGTGTGTCAATGCAGACTTTCCTAGGTATCCCGTCGCGATGTTTTTTCAGTAATGAAATGATATCAATGCAAGAAGAGTCAGGAGGGGAGGATGTGGAGAAGTTGGAGCCCTCCCACATTGCTGGTGGGAATGGTAAATGGTGCAAACAGCTATAGAAAATACTTGGCAGTTTCTCAAAAAGTTAAACCAAATTATCATATGATCCATCATCCCTGCTCCTGGATATACAGGCATATTTCATTTTATCGCACTTCTCTTTATTGAGCTTCGCAGATACTGTGTTTTTTCTAAATTGAAGGTTTGTGGCAACCCTGCATTGAGCAAGTCTATGGGCACCATTTTTCCGACAACATTTGCTCACTTTGTGTTTCTGCATCACATTTGGGTAATTCTTGCAATATTTCAAACTTTTTCACTATTATTATATTTGTTATGGTGATCTGTGATCAGTGATTACACCTTGCTGAAAACTCAGATGCGGCTAGCATTTTTTAGCAATAAAAGTATTTTTTAAAAGATTTATTTATTTGTTTGAGAGAGAGAGCACGTGCGCGTGTGCACAAGTGGGGGAGGGACAGAGGGAGAGAATCTTTAAGTAGACACTCTACTGAGCATGGATCCCGATGTGGGGCTCAATCACATGACCCAGGAAATCATGACGTGAGCCGAAACCAAGTCAGATGCTTGACCGACTTGAGCCACTCAGGCATCCTAGGAATAAAGTATTTTTTAATGAAGATATGTACATTAGTTTTTTTAGACGTAATGCTACACACTTAATACACTGCAGTCCCATGTAAATGTAACTTTTATATGTACTGGGAAACCAAAAAATTCACTTGACCTGCTTTATTGCAATATTTGTAATATTTATTGTAGACGTCTGGAACCAAATCCATCTCTAAGGGATGCTTGTATGCCCAAAAGAATGCATGACAGGTGTTGAGACAACTTGTACACAAATGTTCATAGCAGCACTATTCACAATAACCAGAAGGTGGAAGAACCCAAATATGCACCAGCAGATGAACAGGTAATCAATGCAGTCTATCCATACAATGGAATATTACTCAGCCATGAAAAGGAACGAAGCACCAATCCATGCTACAACATGGATGAACCTCAAACACATTACGCTAAGTGAAAGAAGCCAGACACAGAAGGGCTGATATTGTAAGATTCCACTTATATGGAATATCCAGAAAAGGTAAGTCCATAGAGACAAAAAGTCGATTAGTGGTCGCAAGAGGCCGGCAGAAGGCGGGAACGTGGAATGACTGCTAAATGTGTATGGGACTTTCCTCTGGGTGACAGAAACATTCTGGAACTATAGAGTGCTGATGGTTGCACAACGCTGAGTGTAATAAATGTCACCAGTGGTAAATTTTATGTTATGTATATTTGGCTGCAATAAAAACAAAACAAAAGAATCTGGAACTTCATCAGGACTGCTGCAGATGGATGCCATGCGGGTTGTTTCCTTCGTCAGGTGCCCAGACTGGGGAGGGGGGCATGGCCTCAATTTGCCCCACAAGCCTTGACCCCTGGTACCGAGCAGAGCAGATGCTTTCTTCTGATTCACCATTTAGGCTAATGCAGAGCTTCACAGACTCGATGGCAAAAGATGTAAGCAAGTTTGGTCGATGACCTCACTTTACTGCGATTTTCAACGATACTCCACTGTGCTCTAAGTAGTCAGCCAGTGCCACAGTACACAGCCTCTCCCATCTTGAGGGTGCTATCTCTGAAAAATTCACAGTGCATTGTTGAGTGCTTAATTTGTAAAGCTAGTATAAATCACTGGACTAAATTGTCCATTATCGCGAGCTCAAGTTATCTTGCCATCAAGAGAGTGATCTGGTTGCTTTGGTTGCACTGGAAAATTAAGAGACAAAGAGGCAAAAGGCCAAAAGGAGAACATTAGAAAAAGTCCATTTTCTGATGTTGGAAAGACTTCACAAGGTTAAAGATAGGAGCATTCTGCCTGTACTCATCAAAGGTATTTTTTTAAAAAGCCATTTATGTTTTGGGGATCAACGAGTTAGAAAAGAACAATAATAGTCCTCTCGAAGCTATGGAAGATTTGGTTTTATCCTGGCATTCTGAGATTGTTACCCCTGCAAAGAATCAGGAGGAAAAAGGAAAAAAGAAAAGAAAAGAAAAGAAATGCCCTGGGAAAGCAGTATGTTGAGCCCTTCAAGGAAAAGTCGGTGTTACTTTTGTTCAGTTCCAGGGGCATCGGCCACCCTGCTACTTCCTAATGTGCCACTTTCCAATTTGGGTCCCTATTCACAATGCAACTTAGAAAATATTGGGAACAACTTATCGCTAATATAATGAGATGTGGAATGAGACTTTTCCTGTTGACCCAGAACTTTAGCTAAAGCTTCAAAGCTGAGGGCAATGAGTAACAATACTTCCTCCTGTCAAGAGGTGGCCAGACTGGTCCCTTGACCATCAATAACCATCAGCCTCCAGCCTATATAAAACAAGGTCAGATTTTATCCAGAGGACATTTCTCTGACAGGTCTTTGTAGGGGGTTTTCTTCTCCCCTCTGACCTCCAAGCCAAGAGAGGAGAGCTCAAAGCAGAATCACTCATGAGACTGGGGGGCACCAAGGTGGGGGTGGCGGGTACCTCACTGCCAGCCGAAGGTTGCCTGGGGCTGCCCATGACAGCAGGGCAAGAAGCGAGGGCAGAGGGCAAAGGTGCATCCTATTTCCCAGGGTCCAGAATATGTACATGGGTCTGAGTCATCCTGAAAAGACTCACCCAGGACCTCAGAAAAAGAATGTGGGGTACTTCCCGGGGTATGAATGGAAACGAGGTGTGCATGAAGTCACCCAGCACATGCACTGAGTCCCCACAAGGCCCCCACAGGGTTCTCCAAAGATCCCCCAGTACACATGGAAAAGAAACAGCATGTGAGTTCTTGCCAGGCCATGGCAGGGGGTGGGGGGCATCTGACACCCGAGAGAACTATACCCGTTCTCAGCAAAGGGTCCCTTTTCCTCTTGCTGCCCTGCTCCTATACTCCGGCAAGGCGAGCTGGGAAGGGGCAGGAGAGGACACATCTGCCTCATCTCCACTGCAGATTCCCCAGTCACTTGTGGGGCAGACTGGAGGGGCTTGGGGAAGAGGTATTAAACCGCAAAGGAGAATAGAGTTTTGATTGGACTGGACTGGACTTCTAATATGAGACTCTTCTCATAGTTGAAACTCAGAGCTATGGGGTCTGATGTGATATTTCCAAGCTCAGCTCATTTCATAGCCCAGTAGGAATAATTTATTCCCACTATTGATAAAGGCTCTGTAAGACATGCAGCATCCAAAGTGCCATGCAGTTTCCAGAAAGAAGACCCAGAAACTGCAGCGCAACGCCCAGCAGTCAGCTCCAGTTCTCCAAGCTTGAAATTGGTGAGATTTCTATTGATCTGTGGTGCAAACCACCTTAAGCTATTCTAGGGGCAACCAATGCAAATGCCAACAGGGGCCTGGCAGGAAATATAATGAATGAAGGGAGTTAGGTGGGGCCCATGGTGAACTGGAGAGCCTGTGTCCCATCCGAAAGGGACAGCTGTCTCTCAAATCTAGCCAACTATTGCCCAATGAGGCCAAGTCTTCCAATTTTCCCAGAAATGCCAGAGATCTCCATTTTTGGTAGTGTCTCCTGATTTCGGCATTATTGGTAAGAATATTAGTCAGAGTTCTTTGTTGCAAACGACACAATGTACTCCAGGTGGTTCAAGTACTAGTGCTTTAACAGGGGGGTACTATGGACTGAATTCACGTTTTTGAGTCTTAACCCCCCAACGGACCTTTACAATGTTTAGGAGGTAATTAGGGTTGGGTGAAGCCAAAGGGTGAGGCCCTAATTCAAAAGGGCGGTGGCCTTGTAAGAAGAGGAGGCCATGTGAGCCATGCCTGCTCTGCGTGGACACAGCAAGAAGACGTCCTCTGACATCCAGGAAGAGGCTTTCACTGGCACCCAAACCTGCTGGCACCACGATCTCCAGCCTCCAGAACCGTGAGAAAAAGAAATTTCTGTCATTGAAGCCACCACCAGTGGTGTCCTGTCAGCCAAGGCAGACTACAGGTGGTTAGAAGCCTATAGACTCTCCCGGAGGACAAGAGCGCTAGGCTCGGCCTGTCCAGCTGGGAATGATGCCCAAGCCACACCATCAGACTGCCCCTGTGAATGCCATGCCATGCCTCTCAGCACAGACTCCACGCTTACACAGGGGCAGGACACCTGGCTCACTTCCACGTATAAATCTCATGTGATGTAATGGTAGAGCCCAGATCACATGAAACTTGGTTGCAAGGAAGGTTCTGGAAGAGTGCTTTGGTTTCTCTTATGGAGACATGGGACTCATAAGGTGGGCATTTTTCAAACACAGGAAAGATATTCAAAGGGGGCTGTAGGGATGCAAAGTATAACAAATGTTCACGATAGCAATTAATTGAAAAGACATGGTGGTGGCTGGGGGCGGGGGGCAAACAGAATGCCTCTGTGGGCTGCTTATAGCCCTGCCAGCTGATGACTTCTGAACTATGGGCTACTTTCATTTTTTAAACTTCTACTTCATTTGAGAACAACTAGAAAAGCCAAATCAAATCAGCATCATCATCATCACCTACTTAAAGGCATTCAGAGAGCTGCTGAAGCAACCAGAACTAGAGGGGCCAAGATTCTGGAACGATGTTGAGGTGCGCTGACAAACCGCAGCCACTTTTTCCCTGGGGCATTTGCAAATTTGGGCACTTGGAATCTAGACTTTTCCCAGGCAAGGATGCTGCTGCTGAGAGCACAGAGAAACCAGAATTTTGGCGGTGTCTTAGGGCTGGAGAGACAAAATTAGGGACTATCCTAGAGAGAAGGGAGGGGTAGAAAAGCAGTTCTCCCCTTAAGATATTTGGCAGATTCTGAAACAGTGCAGGCCAAGAGGCTAGAAGCCAAACAGAAAGCCCCTGAAAAAGAGAAGAGTGTCCAGCATTCTTCCCATGTTATGGCTAAAAAGATTAGAGCACAGGACCAGGGGAAGGGGCCTCAGTGAACACCCAAGGTTCTCAGTTGGAATCTCTGAAAGGCAAAGCCTTAGAGGTGGGAGCCAGAGTTAGATCAGTCTCTTATCAAAACTGCAACCCAGCCTCCACCCAGCTCAGCCCCTGACTGGATTAAGATACTCAGCCCCCATGCCATCTGCTTGCAGAGAAAGGGTGAGCCCTCTCCAGAATTAGAGATCACCTGGAGACTTTATATATATTTTTCATACACAGATGTGGTATGGTATGCAACAAAAATTACAAGGCCTGCCAAGAGACAGGACCAAATCCCTGAAAACAAATAGAAAAACAGGCAATAGAAACAGACTGTTCAGGTGACCACAGTACTGGACTAAAACCAGGGCTTTGAAATAACCATGATTAATATTTGTTCAAGAGACACAAAACAGAAGAAGGAAAAAAGAGATGAAAAGCAAATAATAAAAAAAAAAAGATTTTATTTATTTGACAGAGAGCGAGAGAGCACAAACCAAGAGCTTCATAGTCCAAAAGACTGAGGCCATAGAGAACTCACTTGAGCTCATTGACAGAGGGATTTTGAAAATGCTAATTCAGCTCTGTATGAACTGTAAAACCTCATGGCCCACAGTCTAAAAAAAAAAAAAGTTTGTCATCATTGGCTGTCATTCTCTTTACTTCTCAAGTGGCTTCCTTTAAGGGACACATATTGTGCCATGTGTTCTGAGTCACTCTGCTCCATAAACCAGTTGCCTGGCGTGGAGCTCTGTTTACCTGGAGAAAGAGGAGCCTTTTGCTAATTATCCTAAATACATCCTTTGAGCAATGTGTGTTGGGAGTACCAGTAGTTAAGATGATCAGGAAGATGAAGCCTCTCTGGGATGACATTTGAGTCAACACCAAGTGACAAGGAACCAACCAGGAGAGAATTCGAGGGAGATGTGGTCTGGGCAGAGGGGATATAGAGAGCAGAGAACTCTGACGCAAGAACATGTTTGGTGATTTGGTCAGGGGTGGGCAGACTTTCCTGGAAAGGGCCAGATAGCACATATTTTAGGCTTTCCAAGTCATACAGTGCCTGTTGCAACTACTCACTTCTGCTGTTACAACACAGCAGTAAACGCGGACATAGAACAAATGGGTGGCAGTGGTCCAATAAAACTTTGTTTATGGACACTGAAATTAGAATTTCTTATAATTTTCACACGTCACAAAATCTTTTGATTTTTTTCCCAACCTTTTGAAAATATAAAAACCATTCTTAGCTCTGGGGCCACAGTTTGCTGGGATAAGGTCGTTTAGGTAGGCTGGGATCAGACTGTGCAGGACACGTAGGGCATGGTAACAATCAGATTAAGGCAAAGCCCCTTTCCCCCTCCAAATGGAAAAGCCACCCCTCAGGGTAACTGAAGTCCAGGGTACCAATTCAGGGAGTGGGCAGTGTTCTACAGTTCATAGAAGATGACCAGTTTTGTTTTACTCTGTTCCAGTAACAAGAAAGGACAAACGAACACACGCACACGCACGCACTCTGGGAGGCAGCTTCCTACAGCTCATGGAAGACGATCAGGTTTGTTTTCTTTTTCCCCAGTAACAAGAAAGAACAAACGAACGAAAAGACAGGCAGACAGACGCACACACCAGGGCTCATGGAAGATGATCAGGTTTGTTTCGTTTTACACGCACACCCCCCCGCCGAGCCAGAAAGCCAGAGAGGACGTGCCCAGGTTCACGCTGACGTTTCTCCAGCACGCACCAAGGGTTTGAAAGTTGGGTGCACACCTGCTCCCAGCCTGAGCGCACCTGCTGAGCAGGACTCCGGCCTCGTCTCGCGAGAGCGTGCTCTAGTTCGTAGTGGCCCCCACCCCCCCGCCCCCGCGCCCAGCCCCCGCGCCCCGGCGCACCCCCCGCCGGCCCCCCCGCCGGCTCCCCCGCCGCGCGCGCCTCCCCCGCGCCCCCGCCCGCCGGCTCGCACGCACGCACGCCCGGTAGTAACTGCACTCCGCCACGCGAGCTCCGCATCCCCGCGAACCCCGCGCCCCGGGCCGCGCCGGCAGCCGGCCCCTCCGCGGGCAGGTGCGCGAGCCTGCGCGCGCCGCGGCCGCCGCCTCCGGCGGGTCCCTGGCGCGCCGGGCCGGGGCGGCTGCGCGCACGGCGCCGCTCCACCAACCCGCTCCCCGCAGGTCCCTCGCTCGCTCTCCATCCCTCGCCGGCGCTCGCTCGCTCGCTCCCCCCCGCCCTTTGATTGACAGGCAAGATGTCGGTGCGGAGCGAGGCAGGAGCGAATGCAGCAGCCGTCAGCCCCGGAGCCCGGCGGCGGCAGCAGCAGCGCCAGGAGGAGACCGCAGCCAGCCGCAGTCGCCGCCGCAGCCGCGGGAGCAATGCGGACAGCATCTTGAGGACGCGCTAAAGCACCCCAAACGGTGGACGATGCCGTGTCACTGCAACTGGGAGGGGGGCAAAGCAGATTTTTTTTGACATAAAAGCCAGCCAGCCAAAAATATATACATTTGTCCTTCACGGAGCCGGTGTGTAAAGAGTGAGCGCTGTTTGCCCTCGCCTCCTCCTCTCCCTCCTCCTCTCCTCTCCTCTCCTCCTCCTCCCCTCCTCCTCCTCCTCCTCCTCTTCTCTTTTTCCTCCTCCTCCCCCTCCTCCTCCTCCTCCCTAAGTGTACAGACAGCATCACATCACCTGGTTTGCTTCTGAGAAACAGCATCCCTCCTTTTCAGGGACCAGAGACTCAGAGAGAGGAGACATTCTAATGGAGTCTGCTTGATACCCCGAAATAAAATAATAAATTTTGGCTCTTGTCGCCTCCTCCCACCCCACCCCCTCAACCCTGTGTGAGATGTTGGGTTTCTTCTTCATGAGACATTGTTGAGAAGTCGCAGTGGCTGGAGAGCGTAGGGGGTAGACTACCTCTACTCCCCCCCCCCCTTTTTTCTCTCTGGGAGGAGGAGGAGGGGAAGGGGGCTTGCCGAGCAAGCGATGGATGAGGAAAACATGACGAAAAGCGAGGAGCAGCAACCTCTGAGTTTGCAAAAAGCCTTACAGCAGTGCGAGTTGGTCCAAAACATGATAGACCTGAGCATCTCCAACCTGGAAGGGCTTAGGACCAAATGTGCCACCTCCAACGACCTCACACAAAAAGAGATCCGGACCCTGGAGGTAGGTGTTGCCTGGGGTGGGGTGGGGGGGGAAGCAATCTTCCCTTCCCTCTCCTTGTTCCCCACCACCCCCTTTCCTTTGATTCTGTTTGTTGGGGGGCGGGAGGGTGTGGGAGGGTAGCAAGGTGGGCACGATTTGGTTTTCTGTGATTTATCTTCTTTGCAAAGCCTGCTCTGGTTGTCCCTTTACTGTACCGCTGTCGTCTACGCTTGGCTGGGTGGTGGTAGTAGTAGTAGTAATTGTGATTCCTTATGTATTATTATTCTTGCGGCTGTTATTATCATTCGCTTCCTCTCCGAGGAGTGAGTTCTCTCTTTTTTCCGCTTGTGGATTTGTTTATATGCCACGGGGGCTTGTGTGCTGGGTAAGGCATTAAGGCGCTGCAGAGAACCCACGTGACCTTGCGCATTCTGCAGGTGGTCAAAAGGTGGTTTTTGCTCGCAGAATGGGACTGCCTATAAATATAGACCTCTTCTGCCCTCGGCCTCCTTTCCAGCCCCGCTTTTGCCCCTTGGATTTTGTTTTTGTTTTTGTTTTAGTTCAGTGGTATACATGTCAGGAGGCAAGATGCAAAAAAAAAAAAAAAAATCCCCATTGAGCTCCCCGTTTCCAATCAAATCGTTTGATGCAGGGAGCTGTTGCAGGCCTGAAACGTGTAAAAAGATAACAGAAAATATGCCTGGATCAGCACACGCAAGTGCTGTGGGAAAATACTCTTGAATCTTGGTGGGAAGGCGAGGAGAGGGGTCCCGGGAGGAGTCATCTCTGGCGAGTTGTAACATTGTCTCCAACAGAACTTAAGGGGGAGTTTGAAGCAGTTTTGGGGGGTGGGTTGGATGCAAAGTTACTCAGAAAGAAGAGGGCAGAAATTATTTCTTCTGAAGGCCATTTGGTCAAAGGAGGAAGGTTTCAGGAGCCTCTGAAAATGTCTGGTGTGCACGTAATCATTGGGCATCCACGTTGTTGGAAACATCTGAAGGGTTCCACTCACTTCTTCCTCAAAGCAGCTGTACACATGGCTTGATTAAATTTGGGAACTCCCATTAGCTGGCATTTGCTGAGGGTGGTGGCTGTGGGACTGGGAGCGAAGGAAAGGGGTTCTCCCTCTGGTGAAGTGGGCATGTGTGGTGCTGGGAAGTTCCCTCTGTTTCCAGCCCAGGAGTTTCCAAGGCCTGAACTCTTTGGTCCCTGCTGAATCTTTGAGCCCTGTGCCCTCGTTCCAGCCTGGATAAGCACCACTCTCTGATTCACTTTAAAGTCTTTTTTTTCTCTTCCATGATTTTAACTTTGGCTGCTTGTCAGCACACAAGGTCATCAGTTTGAAAGTGGAATATGTTTGTGTGTGTGTGTGTGTGTGTGTGTAATATGCTATTTGCTACCCTAGAATACATGTGCTCCTGTCATGTGGGAAAATGATCCTCAGAAGTGAAATAAAATAAGTGTCAAGAGGTATCAGGAGTGGGAACTCTGTTGGGAGGCCAAGTATTTTCTTTCTCAGAGCTTTAGGGGAATAGTCTAGGCTAGGATTTGTTGCTGGAAGAGAAAGGGTGGGATGCCCTGGCCCAGCCTTCTGTCTCTGCATGAGCAGGGCCCAAAGTAAGATTCTGTTCAGGACTGCAGGCAGTGAATAAATAAGTAACCCAAAGGGCTACCTGAGTCCTCTTCTGGTCCTTTGAGTCAGGAGTCCCAAGTGCACGTTCGTGTATTCCTGTGTAAGTTCCTCTGGTTTTCTTTTTCAAATCTTTTCAACATGGCCCATCCTCTGATAGCTCCTTGGATGATGGTGATGGTCACAGTAGACTCTGGACTCCGTGGCTTCATTCCTGCCCAGTGGTTTTCTTTGAAAACCGGGGGATGGAGTTGCAAGAGGTTGCAGTTACTCGTAGTGCATCTGGTGGTTAGTTTCCTGGTCCCAGGATGCCACAGAGCATGCCCAACAACCACTTTACGCATATTGCACAGGGATGGGTCTCCAGCAGTCATGCCAGTCTATGCTTCTCGGGGCCCTGGGGCAAGGGTAGGCCACTGAGGAAGGGCTGGTAACTCCAGGTGCAGCCAAGTCCTGCTGAACCTTGCCTAAGCATTGGACCGAGGTTCTTTATCTCCCAAACTGTCACATTTTGTATATCAAAACCGCCCAAGGGAGCTTATTAAAAATGTGCATTCTCAGCCTCTAACCCCAGAGGTTCTAATTCAGGTGGGACTGGGCAGGGGGGGGGGGGGGGAGAGGGGAAAGGCCCAGGGATCTGCATTTAAGAAACATTCAAGGTATTTCTGATGTATGTTTTCACATCGACACTCTGAGAAATACCCACGTATTAGGAGATAGGGGGCATATTTCTGCAATTTGATGGTGAGAATTCCCTGCTCACAAGCACTGAAGTAAGCAGTATATTGAACAGACCATCCCTGAAAACTGTGATAATAAGCAAAATTTAGTAGCATGCATATGACTCCATGGGAACAAAAATATACAGAATGGACTGAGCCTTCCAGAAGTGTCCTGCATGATTAGGGAGACAAGGCTAATAATATAGGTGTGAAATAATGATCAAGTCCAAACAGCAAATGATATGGGAGGGCAGCATCTGGGTCTTTGAAGAATATGTTCAAACTGCATGAAATGGAAAATTCAACCACAGTGTTCAAGTGAACAGTGGCTTCTTTTCCTCGTGTAGCAACAAGTCTGGAGAGAGATGGCTGCTTGAGTTGGTTCAACTGAGATAGTAACATCGGGGCTGATGTCTCTTTGAGTTCTCAGTGGCCTCTTTCTAATGGTTGCAAGATGGCTCTTGAAGCTTTAGCCATCACACCCAGGTTCAAGGCAGGGATGAGGGGGACCAGGTGAGGAGTGTGCAGGGATAAAGAGTTCATGTCTTTGTTTCGCTTCCCCAGAATACCTCCTGCTACCTACAGTACAGATGATGTTTAAGTATGTCATCTTGGCCAAAACTTGGTCAGATGGCAATGCTGGGAGCTGGGGAAGTAGGAGCACCATTGTGAGTGGTTTAGGTGGGTCATGGTCCATTGCCTCGGTTGACTTGTTGTCGCTGCATACACATTCAGGGTTCTGCTGGCATGGAAGAGAGCAGGAAGGAATATTGGGTGGACAGCCAGCAACATTGGCCATGGCATGTTATCAGGAGGTATTTGGCAGAGAAGAAAGACCATGAGCTTTGGAGTTAGACCAATACAATTTTAAATTGTAGCTTTTCTACTTAACTTTATCTTGGGCTGGTGATTTAAATTTTCTGACCCATGGTTTAATTTTTGGCAACATGGCAAGAAAAGAATAACATTACCTACTTCAGTGGTTATGAGGATTGAAAGGACATTTTCAAGGGTCTAGTGCTATCTCTAGCACAGCCTGTGGGGGCTGAATAAATGATAGTTATGATGATGATATGGTTAGCATTACATGGTGTGGCATAGATGACAGGGAAGGGAACAGCTTAGATCAGAGGGAGAGAGGGAAGAGTTTGAGCAGCATTTCCAAAGTATGTTCTGTGCAACCCTAGTTCTGTGGGCTATTAGCATTTTTCATTCTTCCAACAAGAAATCCAGGCACTGTACTGGATGCTGGTGGTCAACAAGTACTCTGAAGACAAGATGAATTCCTTGGTTGATACGTCTGAGAAAGGTTGCGTTAAACAAAGGGAAACAGAGACTTCTCAGAGCCTTAACTATACCAAATATGGGCATGGTGACTCCAAGAGAGGGTAGAGACCTTTTTCCAAGGATATTCCCTTGGGATTGATGTTCCATAGAATACACCCAGGGAAACATTTGGCAGAGCAGTTAGGGTAGCTTTCTTGGTTGGGGAGCTGGGGACCCTGGGTGGAGAGAAGGATGGGGAGGGCTTAGATCACAGCAGGTTGGGAGAGTCTGCTTGGCAAGAACAGCCAACCAGCTAAAGGCATTTCATGCCAGTTCGTGCCTTTGTGGGGCCGCAGAGAGACCAGTTGGTCCAGAATGGAGAGTACCTGATAGAGTGTCATAGGAAATGAATTTAGGTCACAAACTCTTGAGATCTGACTAAGGACAAGGGAGTGAGACTGACAAAGTTTCACTCCTTTGAGGAAGGAGGTAGAAGTCTTCAAAGGTTTCGGAGTGAATATGATAAAAATTTGTTTAAAGGTTAGTCCCAACTTGATATAATTTTCACATGTCCTAGAAACATTCTTTTCTTTTCTTTTTTTTAAGATTTTATTTATTTATTTGACAGAGACACAGCAAGAGCGGGAACACAGGCAGGGGGAGTGGGAGAGGGAGAAGCAGGGTTTCTGCTGAGCAGGGAGCCTGATGTGGGGCTCGATCCCAGGACCCTGGGATCACGACCTGAGCCGAAGGCAGACACTTAACTACTGAGCCACCCAGGTGCCCCGAAACATTATTTTCTATTGATTTTTTTTTTTGACATTTAAAAATGTAAAAACTATACTGAGGTTTTGGACCTTACAAAAAACAGGTAGTGGGTCAGATTTGGCCCATGGTTGATAACTAGTTTGCTGATCTCTGATCCATAGGGTGGAGCTATGGTAACCCCCCCCCCCAAAAAAAAACCCAAAATAAAACCAAAATAGGATGGGAAAAAGGGAGGATCATGGCATGATCAGCAAAGGCCCCCTCAAGGAGGTTTTACTGACTTGAGGAAGCAAGCCGAGACCTATCTGGGGAATGCACCAGGAAGAGGGAACAGCAGATGCAAATTTCTTGGGTGAGAATGTGCTTGGCATGTTATTAGAAAAGCAAGGAGACCACTGTGGTTGGAGTGGAGTGAGTGGGTGGGGAAGGGGTGAGGGGCACCATGGGAGACAGAGGCAGGTACCTGGTCATAGAGGGCTTTGATAAGATACTTGGATTTTATTCTAAGTGTGAACAGGGAGGTGACTGATTTATGTTTTTAAAAGATCCTTCTGATTGCTGCAGGGAAAATAGACTGTAGGGGGTAAGAATGGGAGCAGGGAGACAATTTGGGAGGTTAGTGTGGAAACCAAAGC